TGAATCTTAAACATCTTCCTGAATATACAGTTCAACTGCTCCTTTCAAGCAGCAAGGCCAGAGCAGGGTAGGTAAATTGCTCAGGCTTTTACGCCATGGCCTCCTTGGCGATCACCTGTGGCCTTGAATGCGTGGGGCATTTGGGCGCATGCATTAAGGGGCTAGCACGCCTGACGGGGGAACACCTGGAACACGCGTGTGCATGCGCAACTGGGCGGACTTGGGCCTGGAGCTGGCTATGGAAGGACAGGTCACATGAGACAGCTGCAGCCGAGAATGGTAAAGAGAGGTCGAGGGCCAGGCCCGCTGTGTGAGGCCCGCTGTGCGAGGGGAGCTGACCCCTGTGAGAATGGCCACTCTCCGGAATAAAAGAAACAAGTATTGAGGAGGATGTGGAGAGAAGGGAACTCTTGTACACTGTTGGTAGCAAGGTAAATTGCTACAGCGATTAGGGAATATGGAAATTTCTAAGAATTTGAGCTACAGGAAATTCCATGTGATTCAGTTGTTCCACTGGGGAGTAGGCACATGAATATATAAGGCCACTAAGTGGAAGAGATATATGTACCACTGTGTTCAGCGCAGCGCTATTTATAATAGCCAGCAGTTGGAAGCTGTTCAAGAGCTCATTGACAAACAATTGGATAAAGGTGTGATGTATATATGCAATTGAATATACTAAGAAATAATGAAACCGTGCCATTTGCAACAACATGGATGGAACTAGAGGGTATTATGACATGTGCAATAAGTCAGAGAAACACAAGCACTATGATTTCACTCAACATGCATGCGTGAAGAAACAGAGCTAATGAATGTACTAAAAAAAAAATAGACTACATGAGCAGATTAGTGGTTAACAGCAGGGAAGAGAAATGTATAAATGTGTGTGTTGTGGCAAAGTCAGCAGCTAAAACCTGGGGAAGCTGCGATTCATTCAATCTGGCCACAGGGCCCTACTGTGCAAACTGTATAGGTGATGAATGCAGTCTGCTTTCCTCCCCTTAATGTTTATTTGAACTGCTGCAGTGAACATTTAAATGAAGATCAGGGAAGAATTTGGTATTTCCTGACAGCTTTTCAATTAAAAAAGGGTCAACTGTATTGTGAAAAATAAAGTTGGACTTTAGTGGAAAATTTTATATACAAATGTTGATTTATAGTGATACATATTTGAAATGTATATGATGCTATAATGCAATGTCACTTCAATAAAAAGTAACAGTTGACATTTATTGATCACTTCCAGAACATGGCAGGAATTATGTTAAGCCCTTTGCATGCATGGATGCAATTTATCTTCACAAGCTGTAAGGTAGGTCCTTTTACAACCCCCACTTTCCAGATGAGGAAACTGAAGGTAAGAGCGACAAACCAATTCCATCTGAGTTACTCACCAAGACGGGGCAAAGATGGGATTCAAGTCCACCTTAATAATTACTTTCAAAAATTGTACAGTGACTGCCCATTTTGATTTCAAAAGCTTTGTAAAAGAGTACTTTAATGTATACACAAAAGCAAACACTGCTATAAATTTGAAGATAACTCTGAAGTTGTCTACATCATGGTTCTTGGTCAGTAAAATTACATTTCTTTTTTTAACATAATAGCCACCCTGAGTGTGTCTATTCTTCTGCTTCTTTTCACTCCTTTAAAAAAAAAAAGATTTATTTATATTTATTTATTTATGCATACAGAACTGGGGTACAGGGGCAGTGAGAGGAGTCACCAGAGCTAGCAAGTGGACGGAGACAGGCATAGCTGAGATCCCAGAACCCACAGAAATCTGAGCACTTTGGACAATCAATCTAGTGAGCTATAGATGAACCACTTAAATTATAACTGTGAGCAGATGCCCTTTGGCGGAGAGTAGAGTAATATATTCATGTAACAAAATGTAAATCACTCCCACTAGAATGGCTGAAATATTCTGACCCTATCACATGTCGCCAGTGATGCGAAGCAACTATAATCTCATACAGGCTGATAAGACTACATATGACTCCATTACTTTGGAAGAGAGTTTGGAAGTTTCTTCTCAATAATTAAACATATATATGTCACCATATGATCCAGCAATTCCTCTCCTCTATTCAAACAAGAGAAATAAAACATTATACAATGAACACATGATACTGCCACACAGACTTGGTACAGACATTGCTAGGGGCTTTTTTCACACTGGACAAAAACTAGAAATAACTCAAATGTCCATCAACTAGTAAGAGAGTAATCAAACTGTGGTGTACCCAACCCTGACACTATACATTCATACCACAAAGTAAAGTAGTCAGCAATAAAAACGCATGAACTTCTGATACATACAAGAACCTGCGTGAATCTCATCACCCCTACACACACCAGATAGCATACTGTAGGATTCCACTCATGGCATTCTAAAAAAGGCAAACCACAGTGAGAAAGAACAGATCAGTGATAGTCAGGTACAAAAAGGACACAATCTACTACCTAGAAACACAGGGAAATATTTCAGGTGACACACAGTTTCTCTATCTTCTTTACAGTAACAGTTCCATGAATGAATACCCATGGGTCAAAATCATCAACTGAGGGCCTCCCTGGTGGAGAAGGGGTTAAGTCTCAGCACTATGAAGATATAGGCAGCCACTGCAGCATGAATGCCATCCTAGCCAGGGAGCCCACAGACTCACTCTGTCTTACCCGCTGCTCCCCTCAGCAGTGTACTTCAGTAGATCCACCTGTTCTGCTCCCCACTCTGTCTCTGGTGAATCCTTTTACCACACCCATCCCCCATCTCCACCCCAGCATATGCACACCTCTGGCCTATACCCCAGCTCTTGTATGCAGAAATAAATCAATCTTTTAAAAAAGTCAACAACTGAGACACTTAAATGTGTGGATTTTATTTAAACGATACCTTAGTACAATGGTTGTTTTGCTGTGTTGTTTTAAGTCATCCTCATGGGCAGGATAGAGAAATGTGTATATCTGGGGGGTGCGTCTGCAGAGGTGGGGGTACCCTCTCACTCCACCCTGGTGGTTTTCTTGCACATTCTCTTGTGTCCCCCACCCCACTTCAGTGTGGTTTGTTCACACTATTTAGAAACAGAAGTTTAATCTGAGCATCATTTAAGCTGAGTCTTTTAACCAGCCTGGTCATTTTTTGAGCCATGATTTTAAAGCAAATCTATGAACTAAAAGCTGGACATCTTCTTCAGTGCATAGAACCACAGTCTTTGCATTACATCAGGGCTGCTAGCAAAAATATAGAATATACAGTCAATTTAATTTTGGGCAAACAATAAATAATTTTTTTAGGATAATGATGTTGCAAGTACAGTCAGGACTCATTTTTGGTTTGCTGTGTCTGGCAGTCCAATTAATCACACTATCAATGTCAGTCCATAAATGCTCTTTTCAATTTTCTTTCAGCATTCACATAATTCATCTCATAGTCATGTTTTAGTTCCAGGTGTTTTCAGTAACTGTGGCTAGGAACTCCCCTTTATGAAACCAATTCAGCAAACTCAAAGCACTGAGGACTTATTTGAGCTCACTGAGAAGAACCTGGTTTAGGATCCTGTTGCACTGTGATTGGCAAACCCAAAGCATCAGTGTCAACTTGGTGTGTGTTAGGAAAGAATTACAGCTACCACCCAGAACCACTGAGCTCAGGATCTGTATTTTAACAAGACCCTCATGTGATTAATATGCACATTTCTGAATCACATACAGTGTTATAGAACAATATTTCTTTAATATTAAAAATATATTCCAAAATAAAAGCACTGGGTGAGGAACAATTCCCTGGTCTTCGGCAGGGTGGTTTGCAGGGAAATTGAAGGTAAGAACACAAATTTCCTACAAGGATATTTTAAAACTTCAGCATTACTTCAAGAACTGAACTGTGGTCCAGGCAACAAGGATGAAAAGATTGACACTAATATGAAAAACATTCTATGATTAAAATAAAATTTGGTAGCAAACCTTGTCAGAGGGAAAGATGTCATCATTTCAAAGTAGGTAGAAGCCTCAGAGTAACTACTATCTCTGACATAGTTTTTAATCCTAGTGTCACATTTTAAGTACATGGAAACCTGAAAAATATTGGGTCCGCAGCCACTGCAGCATGAGTTGAATTCCCAGCCAAGGAGCTGACCCACATGGCGCAGCAGACCTCTCCAGTCTCACCTGCTGCTCCTCTCAGCAGTGGATTTCCATTGATCTCTGTTCTGGCCCCTCCCCCCACCCCATCTCTGCTGAGTCCTCTCACCTCCCCCCCCCCACCTCTGTCCTGTACCTCAGTTCTTATGTGTATAAATAAATATTTTAAAAAATATATTGGTTCCCAGCCCCAGAAATTTTGATTTAGGGCGAAGCCTGGACAATCAAACTGCTCTCCTAACAGACCACCAAGGTTAAGAACCACCAACATGAGCTGTTTGAACCTGCTTGTTTTCACTTAGTAATCTTCAACACTGGGTATATACTGAGAGAGTTTCAAATATATCATCCAGGTGTTGACCTTAGATTTGGATATCATTGCTAATATTTTCAAATGTTCCAATCCACTGGTTAAGTGCAGCTAAGATTAAGGACACCCAACTGAAACATTCAGTGTCATCAATAATAATTATGAACTAATTTGTCAAATAAGTGTAAAATAAAAAGAGCATTCAGTGTTAACTAACCACATATGAAGTAAGCACTTTTCAGACTCTTAAAATGCAGCGAGAAGTTGAGTGAGTTTTGACCACAACCAATAGAGAATAAACTCCTTGGAGTTAGGAGTAAGGAAAGGATGTGACTAACATTTATTTCTAAGTCAAAATCAAGTCTCTATAGGATTCAACCCCTAACTGAAGTCTATACAGAAAATATCAAGCAGGACAGTCAAGTACGTTAGCATTATCTCATCGCTGTAGTATTATTTACAAAAGAAACAAAGTAAAATAAAATTGTTTTTAAGAAAGAAAAATGTTTCGGTATGACCTTTATAAAATGAAAAATTGGCTTACCTCTTCCCTATGATTCTTAATTGGCATACAAAGAATACTTTGGGTCTTGTAGCCGGTAATTTGGTCAACTTCTGCATTGAACCGAGGATCCTAGTAAGAAAAAATAAATTCAATTTAATGACTGACCTGTTCAAAGACTGATTAGATTTTTCTGATTTATAAGATTACAGAAATCTAACCTTCCACTTACCTCGTTACTCTAAATTTTATCGTTATGAAAGGCACCAGATCATGTCAGTACACATCATCTTTGACAAAGACAAATTGAATGTTTTTTTTAGCAATTAGTGTTTATGAAATATAAAAAAAACACAGACTCAATGTTCACAGACACAGGCAATTCAAAATATCAGCTAGCCTTACTTAAATTCAGGGAAAAAAATGGTAAATTTCTACTTCTGTATTTTGCCTGTTCTCACCTTACAATGAGATTATTCTGTGCCTTCTAAAAGAAATACATGTTTGCTCTGAAACTTCTTCTAAAAAAGCAAACTTCCATTACTGACTTTACTTTCCTGGTAATAGCTGTTAATATATTTCCTCAATATTCTGCACTTTTGGCTCAAGATTTCATAAGGATTAAGTCTTTGTTTCTCCTTTACTATATATAAAGAAGTTGCATGGGCTCAGTCAGACTGTCAACAACTCTCCAGTCTTCTACCTTGCCCTTTCCCGAGATGTATCTTGGACGTTCAAAAATCACAAAAGAATTTTAAGCAATGCAAAAGTTCGAAGGGAGAACTAAGGCAAGGTATAGGCTATTTTCCATAAAGCTTAGGCTATGAAAATTAAAGTCAGACTATAAATTGCATGAGAATCTTTTTTATAGAGGGAGGTAGGGAGCTAAGTATTCCCAATAGTCAGCATCGAAATGCAAATGCATTTGTTAAGTGAAAAGAATTCGTGCACTGGACTATGGTGATGGCACATGGGGGAGCTGGTGGTGGGAAGTCCATGGGGGTTACAACCGAGATAGAAAAAGGCACAAAATGAAGAATGATATAAAAATAAATTTAAAACAACAACAACAGCAAGTGATGTCATAGTTATCAAAGGTGACCACTTTAGTTTATTATGGATGACAGCAACTCCTAAAGGTAGGCAGGAAAACTGCCTCCAGGAAGTCAACAAATACCAAGATGAGATGAGAATGGAGCGAACACACCAGAACATAAACACTGACATGAGTGCTGTTCCCTTCACAGCTACGGAGCCTTGGGAAGTCAGACGCGCACCAAGTAATAGCATTGCTGCTCTAAAAAGTCTGCATCTGGAATTCCCTTCAGAGAATATGGAATAGCCACACTGGAAAATCCTCCTCTTTGAAGGTCATTTCTATTTTTTAAATTGGTCTAAAGTGATGCAAAGATGTGAATGAGGTAAATAATGATATTAGATTCCATCAATTGGGTCAAAAATGAGGCCAATTTTCCCTTGTGAGAGCCAATGTTGGCATTAAAGACAATTTTAAACAAAAAGTTACAACATGGTGGAAAATCAGATAAAAGTTTACATTAAACACTAGTATGTTTTTCCTTTTTCTACGAGCATGCTCGAAGTTATTACAGAGACAGAAAACTTCAGTGGTATGTTTCTAAGAAACAATTCGGAATTAACATCTGTATAGCAAAGTAGCTAAAAGGAAGCAGACAGGACACTAATATTAGTAAGTTAAGAAAATAAAATGATCAACTTGTGAATTATTCTACAACGTAAAAGTCAAAATAAGAATAAAATGCATCTTGGCTCTCCCTGGTTGCGCATCGGGTTAGGACACAGCACTGCAAGCTGGCAGTAGCCCCTTCAGTGAAAGTTGAATCCCCTGCCCCGGAGGTGACCCGGGAGGTGCAGCCGATCTCCCCTGTGTCACCCCCTGCTCCCCTCAGCAGTGTACTTCATTGATCTACCTGTTCTGATACCCGTTCTGTCCCTGGTGAATCCTCTCACTACCCCTGCATCTCTGGCCTGTACCCCAATTCTGTATGCATATTTAAAAAAAAAAAAAGAATAAAGTGCATCCTTAATAACTCTTGTTATATTTTAATTTTCACAGCTAGTGTATAAAAGAAAGGCTGAAACTACAGTATCTAATCAAAGTAACAAAATCTGACAGGCTGAAATTGTTAAGACTTTCACAGATTTTTCTATGTATACTGTAAGTTTAAAATCAAAAGCAGCCCTGGAACTTATTCTTCATTGAAGGAATTGGAGGTTATATATACTTCAGAATCACTTTGAGTGAATTTTGGCACCAGGGCAAGGCAATACACGTAGTTATTTCTAGCCACTTCTAGAAACATCAAAGGAAAATAAAGCACTGTATTCATTGTGATTATTCCTTTCACTGTTTATGAGCATCTCATTAATACTGGAGTACATGAGCCTCACATGCTCCTTGGAAGTGTACCCTTAAAAGATATGTGGTATAATACCCGTCGTGTGTGTGTGTGTGTGTGTGTGTGTGTATTTGGGTTTTTTGCATGTGTATATTTGTTGTGTGTGTGTATATTTGTAGTTCTTTGCACAGAACTTCTAAAACCCTTGAAATTTCCTGATTAAAGATCTGTTGATCTAAAAAACCCATTGAGTCATCTTGAATTAATACTTCTAAAATGGTTACTGTGGCAGAGAACCCCCAGGTAAGTTTAGGGACGGGGTTGGCTGCCAGAGAAACTAATCAAATGATTAATTACAGCGTTAGCACGTTCAGCCCCATTGCTGACCTCTGTGGAGGGAAGAGGGGGCTGGAGGCTGAGTCCAGTCACCAGTGGCTGATGATTTTAATCAATCATGTCTACATAATAAAACCTTGATAAGAAACTCAGGAGAATGAGCTTGGGGAGCTTCTGGGCTGGCGATGAGAACCACATGCCGTGAGGTGCCAGGGCCGCAGGAGAGGACATGAAGCTCTGTGGCTCTCAGCTCTCTCCCCACCCTAAGCAGCTTTCCTACTTGATTTTTTCATTTATAATAAAGTCATAATTACTTTCCTGAGTTCTATGAGTGACTAGCAAATTACTGAGCCCGACGGGACAGCTGCTGAGTGTGTAAGTCAGTAGGGCCCAATGTGTGGCAGTGCAGGCAGAGGGGGGTACCTCTGGTGACTGACATCTGAGCTGGGGGACAGTGTGGTGAGTGACTCCTGAACTGGGGCCTGTGGGAGCTGTACGAACGCCGCTTAGTCGGTGGTAGAAATGAAAAGGATTATAGGACACACAGCTGGTACAAAAGAAGTGAAGAATCAAATGATGTTTAGAAAAATCAAACAAGGTCTCAACATCAACATCATGGTATTCCTGCCAAAAGGGCTTAACTTGAAATTATTAGTGAACAATCTACAAAATAAGTGGCCTGTACTGTCTCCAAAATATACGTCAGGAAGAACAAATACTGTGAAACCATCTCAGATGGAAGAGACACGACAAATATGTATACAGTGTGTAATCTGGGATTTCATCTTTGATCAAAGGGAAAAAATAACTATAAAGGACATTAATGGGGCAGGTGACCAAATATGACTATAATTTGAGCATATATTCTATCATAATTATTTCCAATTTTCGATATATATATATAGCAGGTAAGAACAAACTCTTGCCAGAAAATGTAAGCTAAAACATGGAACAAAGATGCCACTAACTTATTAAATCATGCAGAAAAAGAATACACATCTATATTACTTAATTGTATTATGTAGAGTAATAGGCAAAATGAGAAAGCAAATGGGACAAAATAAAAAAAAAAAAACCTGAAGAATCTGGATAGAGATTATATAGATGCTTCTTATGCCAGTCTTGGAACTTTCCTGTAAATTTGAAATTATACAAAAATAACAGATAAAAAAGGAAACAGAGATGTACCCAATTACAGGCTAGTTCTCTCCAACAAAAGTGGCATCTTTAAGGTAATTCCTAAAGATCATTAGAACACTGAACAAAGGTAGACCCAGCAATTTCCAAAGAGTTCTGTGGGGGACAATTAAATCATGACCGATTAGGAAATATACCAAAATTAAAAGTTAGTAGGATTATTTCTTCTTAAGTTAATTCTGGAAATAATTTTATTCATTTGAGAACACATATCCCTTCAGAAAACTAACTTGATAAATACTTGAAGCAGAAACTGAGGCCTGAAAGGTGAGGGTTGAAAAACTTCTCTGGAGAAGGAATAAAGGGAGGAAGAGGGTGTGGGGAGCAAGAACAGATCCAGGGGTTCCATTGGGCATAAGACCCCGCCCTAAGGCCCTCCCAGCTTCCCTAGGAATCTGGAGAATCCAGAGTAACTCTCCTATGAAAACAGAAGAGGCCTATCTTATTGTCATCCCAATTGCTTTCCAGTGCATTCCAATTTTGCATTCCAGTTGATTTTGAATAAACAGGGGTGTTTTGAGAATAAATCCTTTGACACAGGAAATCTTGGGGAGGGTTAAAAGCTTCTGTCTGCTGTAGAATTAGGGTTTCAAGGCAATCTGTTATGGTTTATTTTATGTATTCACTTGACAGGTCTAAGTCACCCCCAGACAGCTGGCAAAACATCATTTCTAGACAGTCTCTGAGGATGGCTCCAGAAGAGACAGACATCTGAATCATTTGGATCCCTATCAATGGCCTGGGCTAACGTCCCATCCCCGGAGGCCTTAAACAGGACAAACAGGGAGAGGAAGGGCAGCTTCAAGCCCCAGGTTGAGGCTGGGACATCCATCTTCTCGTGCCCTTCAGCATTCCTCTCAATCTCCTGGGTTTTCTGGAACTTTCTGGGTTTGCAGACTCAGACCCAGACCAGCTTTGGACCAAGGACCCCCCTCGGTGCTCAGGCCTTCAGACTCTGGATTATACCAGCAGCTTCCTGACTCTCAGCTTGCACACAGCAGGGAGACTGTGGAGCCTGTACATACCTCCATGCCCAAGTGGTCAAGTTCCTATAAGACACCTTGTCTAGATCTTTTAATATGTGTCTCCCATTGGGTGTTCCCCTAAAGACCCATGGTGACTATTAGCACCCCAGCCTAGGATGGTAATCAAGCTTTCATATAGAAGGAAAATGACTAACACATTTAAATAACTGTTCTGCCTATTCTGTGTTAATAGCTTATTCTTAATAAATGCTATGTCATGGTCACCAGTCACATAAATATGCAGGAAGAAATGACTGGGCACAGGGCTAATCCTTCAATGGTACCTGTGCTCTCACTGAGAATCACAAGTCTCAGCTGCAGATTGTGGTATATTTTACATACATGAATGTTTCTCAAATTTATAGCATTCTTTTACAAAGCTTAAAAAGTGTATCACATGTCCACCATTTCCTGAAATTACTTTATCTCTGAGGCTGTTTTTTCAAAGCTTAGCTTAACCTGAGCACTTTTACATTTCATTACCACCGCCCCCCCCCCCATTTTTTTCCCCACTGCCACATTGCAACTTTTACTGTTCCACGGACAAGTAAGTTTAAGGCGTCTAAGAGAGAGTTTCACTTTTAATAAATGCTATGTCATTTATATTTGTATATTTAAGGACCTAAGACCCGGAAAAAGATCCGAATGTACTTTCATATTCTGGCTACTTTCACAAAAGGCAGTATTTTGCTGACTCAAATTACAGGTGGGGCTGAGGAGTGAATAACTCATTAGTTAACCGACTTCCACTTTTAATTCCAATGTAAATTACATGTCCCCACAGTTTTGAGTAGAACTCCAGGGATGTGAAGAACTTCTACAAAGTCAAGGAAGGCCCAGAACAAGGACACCAACATCAGAGAGATGAATCCAATCTAGAGGCTTCACCCCGGGGAGGGCTCCGAGGATCAAGGGCACTGGGCTTCTTTTAGACAGCAGTACAAGAATGAAATCACTACTAAGTGCAAAAGATAATTACATTGCAAAATTGTAAAATTCTAAAGATAGTAGAAGAGGATACAAGTCACACATGAATGGACAAATTCTCAGAGCTGGTGAGTCAGACAATGCTGCAGAGAAATGCAGGCTTTTTCAGCAAAGCTTTAGCATATTTGTGATCTACTACCCTTGGGACTTAAGGGGCATTGAAAAGCAGAAGCCCAGCTGTCATCTCAGACAGGAAGGGAATTCTGCAAATCTGCCAGCAATCCTTCAGCTGTGTCCTTAATACCCCTCCTGGAGTAGGCTACAGCATGATGTTGCCACAGTGCTCAAGTCATGGAGACAGAGAGAGCTCCAAGGAGAATCAAAGTTGACCAGGGTGCTTGGACAGAGTGGGTTCTGGAAAATATGGCAGGTGCTAACCTTTTGAACTAACGTATCTCTCCCCAAATCCCTGCCCTTGGTATTCACCAGTTACCACTATTTCTGCAGCCACTTCCAAACCAGAGCCAGCCTAGACTGCTCTTTCCACTCACTTCCATCTCCCATTAGCTGCCTGAGTCCCGAAGAACTGCATCTGAAATCCACTCCCTCCTTCTCATCACTAAGGCCAGTACCCCGGGTCTAGTCCTTACTTCTTCATCCTATTAAAAAAAGGTCTTACATCCTCCTAGTATCCAGTATTCTCCCCCCTGACTTACTGTATGACCACCCTAAAATTCAACTTTCTACAGCATGGGCTAAGTCACAGCAGTTTCCCTAACATGCCATCATCAGTTCTTCCCTTTGGCTCCAAACCCTAAACACACCCCTCAGCCTAGAATTCAAGACCCCGGCAATCTGCTCCCACAGCTTCACTGTCTATATGACTCCACCCACCCACACATTTCCAGGCAAGAAAACCTGCTCCTACTTCCCTGCCTCTTCTAACTTCTCTTTACATCTGTAATTCGTCATGCATACAACTCAGTCTAATCAAGTCTTAGCTATTTTTCCAGGGTCCATATCAAGCATTGCTCCTCAAAGAGACCTCTGTGTCCATCTCCCCAACTGGATGCCACCTCCTGCTTCCTGGAACCTACCACACTTTCCTTGACATCTACTTTGATCTGTTCTTTGTTCTACTTATCTAACTAGCTACCCACTATCATTTTCATTCAGTGTATTTTTCTTCAGATTTATTTATTTATGCATACAAGAACTGGGCTACAGGCAGGCCAGAGGTGTCGGGGGTGAGAAGATTCACCAGAGACAGAGTGGGGAGCAGAACAGGCAGATCAATTCAGTACGCTGCTGAGGGGAGCAGCAGGTGAGACAGGAGAGGTCCGCTGAGCCATGTGGGTGACCTCACCTCCCAGGCCAGGGATTAAACTTGTGCTGAGGTGGCTGCAGCCTGCTTCACGACAATGCACTTTAACCTGCTACGCCGCCAGCTTAGACACAAAAAGTAAACCTTTAAAAAAAGAAAAAAGACTTGACTATGAGACAGCACCAGGAATATCAGCTGAACAAACAGCTACAACCCTGCAGATTACCGAGAGGAGGCAGGACAGTGGTTGAGCACAGACCTGTATATGGACCATATGGCAGGCGGCTAGAACAATGGCTCCTTTAAGGCACTAGAACAAACTTCATGAACACACAAAGTGTCACTCGATTAAAGTACTGTGTTGAAGAAATTCTACCATCCGTGGTCTGTTTTAAGTGAGAAATTGGAAGACTCACAGTGTGATCTTTAAAGTTCACAATGAAGCATCTGTACATAACTGTAGCAAAAGTGGAAGAAATACTGAGTCTTCCCATGGAAATATTATTGAATGATCATAAGTTGAAGAAAATGTTATAGAGTGATCATATTTTCCAAGTTTTGAAAACTTTCATAAGTTTATTTATCTTAATAAAACAAATGACAGAAAGTATGGAAACAAAGTCAGGTTTCTGTGTCAGTGGGACTTCAAAGATGAACAGATGAATGAATCAATTTTTTTAAACTATGGATTTGGCATTTTCACAAAATCCTCAAAATTGATGTAGAGCTAACATAGATAGGGAGCTAACATACGAACGGTCAGGCAGGTAGCTAGCTAGGCTAAGTAGATAGACAGAGAGATGGTAAAAATAAAATGGAAGAATAGTACTACGAGATGAGATTTATGAAATTATCATTAAGGAGAAAACAAGACAGCCCCTATCCTTGACTCAAACACCAGCGAAGAAACTGCATTTAAAAGATACCCAAATTTGGCCCTCCCTGGTGGCGCAGCAGGTTAATCACAGCACTAAGAAGCTAAAGCCGCTTCCGCATGAGTTCGATCCCCGCCTGCCCCGGAGGAGACCACATGGCGCGGCAGACCTCTCCTGACCCGCCCGCTGCTCCCCTCAGCAGTGTACTTCGTCCATCTGCCTGTTCTGCTCCCCACTCTGTCTCTGGTGAAGACTCTCGCCGCCCCTGCGCCTCTGGCCTGTACCCCAGTTCTGTATGCATGAATAAATAAATCTTTAAAAAAAAAAACCCAAATTTAAATAAGGATACCGAGGCTTTCAGGACGCCCTCCCCCCCCCCCACACACACACAGTGGTGGTCTAGTGGTGCACACCTTCACTTCCCACCCCTCTGCCCCCCCAACAGTGCCCTCCTTACCTCATAAGCATCTTTGATGTTGAGGGGCTCCCCCAGCGCGGCTACGTGCCCCACGATGCCTTTGTTCCACTCCAAGCGGATACAGTTGTTGGACGCTTCTTCCAGCGTTGTACCTTCTGCGACATCAAAGAGGCGGCTGATCAAGAACTTGTCGTTGGAGCTGTCCTCACAGACCAGGAACAGGGAATAGCGGTCGGCCGAGATGAGTCCATGGATATGCAAGAAAATTTTGTGGCACAAGGCTGTGACATCCAAGTGGCTGGAGATATCTTTCACTAGTTCCAAGAGTCTGGAGCACTGATCCCCCTCCTCGTTAGCAAACCTCGGGGGGGTTAGAGGCATCTGCTCCTTCTTTTCTGAGTCAGACAGGAAGCTCACCGTCCCCTCAGAATCCTTGACAACAATGGGCCTAAGAGGCCGGTCAAATTCAGAGGCAGAGATTTTCCGGGTCGGTGTCCCAGGGGCACTGCTGTCTGCACGGGGACTGGACTGCGGGGGGCAGGAACAAGACTCCGGATGGTCTCGGACGCCCTCCTTGCACACAGGGATGGTGTGAACTCGCTCAGCAAACCATGCGTTGACCATTTCTCTGCAGAACAGAACATGCAGACCCGTGAAATACGGAAGGAGGGGAGGGACTTCCCTGAAAGCTCAAATGTATCTCCTGGTGAATGGTGACACAAAATCCCTTCTTTCCTAGCAAACAAAAATCAGATGGTTTATTAACTTTTGCATTACAATTCTGTAGAGGGCAATTGCTTCTAGGAACACCGAACCCCAATCTGACCCCTACAGCCATCTGTTTTGTGCCTATCTGACTTAGAAACATCAAGTGTGCTTTGTTCAACGTTAGTCTGTAATGAAGAAACGTCACTAAATTTGACAGCAGTCTTGGAAAACATAAATATGGTAATTGATTTGCTGCTCAAAATTTACTTTTTCTCAAGTTAAATATTTGAAAATTGAAAACTATTTAACTTTCTTAGGTAATTGCTCAATTTTCAGTAATTATATCTACCACTATTTATAGATTAGATTTAGAAGGGGAAAGAGAAAATAGAAACAATTTGATTTGGTATGTGGAAATAATGTAGACGTCTGTAAATATTATCCTAATAACGTCTGCTCAACATTAGTAAAAATGATCTCTTTTTCCCTATTGTCTATTCCTGGAATAAAGGACCACTGGGCATTTTGTCCAACCAAAAGCCAACAAATGGACACAGAACAAGATTAAGTGATGTAACAGATTCATTAGGAGTTACAGCAGCTTAAAACTGGTGAACACAAGTTTCTTCATGTCCCACCTGTCATCTTACTCCATTCAACCTCTCTCCTGCCAGTTTTCCTCACAACCAGCACCTCCAACTCTCCAGTTACCGAGAGCAAAAGTGATGGAATTACGCTAATCGTCCTTCAGCTCACAGCCAAACCAGCGGTCAAGTCCTGTCAACTCCACTTCAAAACCTCCAGGCACATTACGGTCATTTCTACCTCCTGCCAGGCACCTGGGTCCAGGCCCTTCTGCCTCTCCCCTAGATTATGGCTGTAGCCCTGTGAGAGGTCTCTAATATTTACTTACATCCCTTTCAATCCAGAGTAATCTTTTAATGAGGTACAGCTTAACATCTTAACTACCCTCCCTGGCTTCTCAGTGAAGGGAGGCTAAGACCCAGCTCCTCCAGGTTCCCTCAGCACTGCCACGCCCATGCCCCTGCACCCGGTCACGGCTTCCACAGCCAGTCCCCACAGGTCTTCCCATCTGCCCAACTCAGATGGGCACATCAGGTTCTCACTCTGCACGACCTGAATTTTCACTACCAGCTCTCCTTCTTATATATTAACCTGTTGGTCAGTCTCCTGCAATGAGTGCAAATTTATCAGAGCTGCTCATCTTATTCACAAAATGACTAAAACCCTGTTCGTAGAAAATGTCTGTCATACAGTAGGTACTCAATAGAAATTTCTTCAGTGATATGCATTAATAAATCAATGACAGCTCCTAATTGGCTTTATCAAATGGACAACTGTTTTTGGCAAGTACTAAATATTCCGTCAACCATTTTATTAACCGCCAAACATAGGGGAAGGGGTTTCTCAGGACTGCGTTATTCATTCTGTCAGTTCCTGTAGTTACATGCCTGCATAAAAAAACATATGTCACGATAACACCAAAACAATCATTGATTAATCCCTCCTGACAGCCCCCTCTACTCAGGCATCGAGGTTTCCCATAAAGACACACGGACTCTAGGAAGTGGCCCTTTTCTCACAAGGCTGCTCTCCATCCTCTCCCAGTGATTTCTTAATACTTCAGTCTCAACACAAATATAAATAACCTGCAGTGTGAAATTCAAATTCTTATTGAAGATGCAAAACTCTCTCAAAGTGGAGAAAAGTGATGCTAGTATTGCACAATCATATTGACAATTAAGGGACATGCCCATTAAGGGCCAGCAAACAAATTAAGACAGAACAACATGTATAATTACACACCAAAAAGTTGAGAAGAGAATTCCAATAGATTTTTTTAGATTAAGAAAGTTCCTTCAAAAAATCTCAATTATTAAGTCAAAAGCTACTTAGGTGTGTGGTGGAGAAAGACTTTATGGTCTAGCTGCATAAATCAAATATAAGATTAAGACACTGTAGTTCCATCAGAAGATTAATTGCTTAAACTAAAAACTGGCACAGAGCTTTCATTCCAATCTTTTATTAAATCTAAGATAAATTTACTTTCATAACCTTTACTTCTACTTCTTGCAATAAAGTTCTAATCAAAACATTTTCACTGATTTCTTTTAATTGGATTCACTGTGACATATCCTTGCTCTTTTAAATTAAAACATATTTGATGTATACTGTCAAACAATCTAAGGTGTTCATATCATATGTATTACCAATGAAATTGGCATTGTGGTAATAATTATAAGTTCCATGTTTTATACAATTATGATCTCTTTTCAGCGGTGAGAATAATTAAGTTCTAGACTCTCTGCAAATTTGATGATTTTTGAATGCAATATTGTCTACAGTACTAATCCCTGCATTCTATCTCTAGAACTAATTTGCTCCTCATTACAAGTTTGCACCACAAATATCTGCCCTAGCTATGGACATCTTAGCATCCTTTTTCTAAAATGAATTATTCAGGTAAAGGCCTTGAAGTGTGTCAGGCACAACGAGGAACCAGGGATACAGCAATGAGTAACCCTACTGAACCTATGAATGACCTCTGCTCCCCAAATTGAAGTTTATATTGAGTTCAGAATTCAAATATATTTCGGATTTTGCTGCTCTATGAGGTCAAATGTAAAATGCATACAAGCTAATCCATACGGAGAAGGTGACAGAGTACAAAGCACCAAAGGGGATTTTAGAGGCGTGGGCTGGTTGGTCGGGACTGGGCAAATCCCCTAAGTGGCCCAGAAGAGGATTCCTACTCTCCTTCTTCCCTCAACTCTGGGATTTTTGAAAAATATTTGTAATAGTGATGTTGAAAAAACCCCACCATTTTATTTAAACCTATAGAGGCAAGCATTAATCTTATTTTCTAAAATACAAAGTTAAATCACATAGCTGAACTGAAAACATTTAGCTACTTCATAGAAAAACCAGAAGCCAAGTGCAGGTCTCCTGTTCCAAGTCTTCTGACCCAGGAGAACATAAAAGTCCCAGAACATCAACACTTGTCATGGAGACACCCCATAAATTCGAGTTGTATCTCATAGAGTCAAAATCAAAGTCAAAGAAAAATAAGGTCACTTATTCAGAAGAGAAAATAATACAAAAAATATATTTTTATATGTGATAATAATAACGTTCCCTAACTTCATTCTTTCCACCTATATCATAAAAAGATGATTCCCTGAGCCATGGGGTAAACACACCCTCTCAAAAAATTCAAAGAAAACAGACTGAAGAATAATGTCCTCTAAAAAATCTTACTGAATCCCACACCTATGTTTTTTTTTTTGGGGGGGGGGAATGTTTTATAAATCTAAACATACTGCAAATAACATATTGCAAGTAAATGTGTTGGAGAGAAGAGTCCTTCTGAGGGTTACATCTAACAAATAAAATAAACAACACCCCACAAAATCTGAGTTTCAGATAAACAGCAAATAATTTTTAGTTTAAATATAATCTGAAATTCAAGAATTTGAAGGAAATTTTAATTTTTTTAATTGTACTACTTTTATTGAGATAATGTTGGTTCACAACACAGTATGACTTTGGGGTGTAGGTTCATACCTCCTCACATGTATGTTACCATACCGCATCTACCACCAAGACACCCATACGGGGAGTCCTGTATTTTATCTGGCCCCTCCAGCCATTTTATATTTTGTTTTCCCAACTGAAATTCTTGGCAGATAGACAGCACGTGAAAGGCAGGTTCTGATCATGAGCTCCAGGCTAACACAGCACCAGCACACATTCCATCACTGAAAGAGCACAAAAGACAACATAGGGTGATCCTGACGGGGCCTTTGATTAACAATGTGTGGCATGAAATTCCTTCTTAACTCAAGCTCTTTCCCTTTTTCTCAAAGCCACACCACATATTTAACAGACAAAAAGCAAGTTGCAGTCTACTTAAAAAAGGGACAGATAGACTGCTAAACAAATTCTTGGGACTATGAAACATTGTGTGTTTCAGCCAGATATCCTAAATTCTAACCTCATCTTAGCATTTGGTACCAATGCAATGTATCACCAATTGCAAACTATGCTCTTGGCAGGTACCAAAAACCTGGGCTGGGGAGTTACTCCTCTCACATAACAAGAATGTGGATACCATCTGTGGTTTAAAATTTAAATATACTCACTCACCTAGGTCCCCCTAAAGGATGCATGCCCACACTGAACAAACACCCCAAAGATGGATATTCATTAGACAGAGACGAAGCCAGAAGGAAGTTGCCGAAAACTGGCCATAAGCAGTTGTCAAAGTGACTGGACTTTTAATCTCAATTCTTTTAAAACAATGAATCCAGGCAGAAATATATAGTCTTAATGTTCTATTTTAGGGAAGAGGCTTGAGACTCAAACAGCTCACATGACGGTTTAATATAAACATCAGTGTCACAAAGAATGTTTAACACATCTCGAATTCATGAGCCTCCAGGGAGTACTAACAACACTGCATGCGTCGTGGTGATGTTACAATGTGGGTGGGGCGCCCTAAAAAAATGAAATGAGTTCATGCCCTCAAAAGGCCAGGCAGCCTGGTTCTTGCAGCTGCTACAGGAGAGGCTGAGCTGACATTTCCAGTATCAGACATTTTGCGATTGTACTAATACACAGAAGAATGCATAAATTCATTTGTGCGTGATAAAAATGATCAGAGGAATGTCTGGGGCTTTGGTAACTTAGGATGAATTCTCATTTTCTGTTTTACAGTAACGGCTGAAACAGTTTATTTCACGAATCATACACGAGACAGAAATAAAGTGCCAGGTATTTCGTATTTCATTCTAATCATTTTCCCTGATCCTTTTTTTTTTTAAGATTTATATTTTTATGCATACAGAAGTGGGGTACAGGCCAGAGGTGCAGGGGCAGTGAGAGGACTCACCAGAGACA